ATGTGTGCAACATGTAGTAGCTTCTCGACGATGGACACGTTATCACCGCTACTGCTAGAGGTTTCATGATCGATCCTATCAAACTCCATTAACTCGTTCGTTCACCTGCTATCTACCCTGTACCTGCATTCACGTGTGTCGTCAGGTTTACTGTGAACGTATGGGTTAATTTTGGATAATCAAAACACGTCGATATATCTAATTGAAACACGAATTCATTTTGTAAAAAAGGATAATGCATTAGTATATAAGCAAATGAATCAACCCCTATTTTCTTCGTGTATGGTTGTTAGGAACTTCCTGAAATTTTATTGGCAATATTAGTACAAATTGTAACAATGAAACTTTTAATTAAGGAATAATGTTGCAGAGTACTTTGTATGAAATTTCTAATTATTTTATATAAAACGACATGTATTAGTATATAAGCAAACGAATCAACCCCAATTTTCTTCGTGCATGGTATAGTTGTTAGAAATTTCCTAGAGCTTAATTGGTAATGTTAATACAAATTGTAACAATAAAACTTTTAATTAAGGAATAATTTTAGACTGTATTTTATACGAAGTTGCTAATGTTCAACACGTTGATTATTTTGAGAAATCCATTCAATTTATAGAATTTTCATAAAGTCTTCGCAGGACAATTGGAAAAGTCGTTCACCAAAAAAGTCTTTAAAGGACGGCATTGCATTCCTTCGGGGACGTAGTTATTTACCGTTCTATGGATCCATTGAAAACTTTCAATGACTTCTAAACTCAGTTTAGTGAAGTAAGTCAAAAGGACTTTCGGAACTGTTAATGAGTATTTTAAGAAGCAGTTAATTGAAATGAAATCGAACTTTTCTCGGGGCTGGAATTCTGATGGCATTGTTTGGTCGAAATATTTTATATCATACTCGGGATGAATAAGAAAAGAAAGATAACAGGAAATTTGAAGAATTTCATTGAACGTTCTTCAGATGAACGAGGGAAAAATGTACGCTTGTCAGGATAAAACCCAGAGAAATTCATGTGTTTATATCACATAATCCGTCTTTGTTAAGAGGATAAGATGAAAGAGATTTAAGAGGAATTGTAAAAAATTGGCGACTGTACCTTGCAACTGAATAACTATAACCCTCTATGAACTTATTTTACCCCTTCAAATTTTTCAGTATTATCTGAAATAATTAAATCTTGGCTAAACATCGCTAATCATTCGATTATACAAAATTCGTGGGATCGATCATCGGATGTTAATTTAAAATTTAAATTAATATTTTGCTACGATACACGTCTGATACAAGCTTATAACGTTCAACTACCGGTGTTAGATGTTGCAAACCGGAATGCTTTGATACATTATGTGCACGTCTAGCTTCGACAGTTGACCCATTCATAAAGGTATTAATTATACTTGACTTACGATGCTGTCCTTCATAAGCTCTAATACGTTTAGTATGATACATTTAATAAGGCAATATTAGTTGATGTCCAGACGTTAAACAATTCATTAGCAAACATCCAATTAGTGGCACTAATCTTGATAATAATTACATTAACAGATGTAACTTTCTTGTAAATTACTTTTATAGTAATGTAATAGATTTAAATATCAATCAATTAAAAGTTTTTTCATAAATCTTCAAGTATGTATGAGAACTTACTACTTATTTATAACGTATTGATTATAGCGGGAAGATAGGTATTTGTAAAGCAAAAGTTGTAAGAGGGCGATGGAAGAATTGTGCGCCAAACTCTTGAGATTTGCATTTAATTTGATTATCAAAGTGGTTTGGATCTATGAACTATGCATAGAACGAAGTCGCGTTGATAATAGAAATACAGATACAACTTCAGAGTTGCAGCGCATATTAAATTGCGAACCGTTACTTTGATGTTTCGATAAATATTCTTCGTTACTTTTAATCCGTTTTAGAAATTTTCAACAGCGATAAGCTAAGTAGTGAAAATATTTAAATGAAACTTTAACCGAAATTACTTTTACCAGCTAAGGCATCTGAAGCAGCAGTATTATATAAATTTTATTCTACGTTTAAATCTGTTTTAATTTTATAATTACACAGGATAACGTTCCAAGAGTAACTTCTGCAGATTACCGACGAGGGAACTTCAATTAATTTCAATCTGTTTAAGTAAAATATAGAAAGAATTACACCGAAATACAATTTAACATCATCGTGTTAAAAAATAAAATTATTGTCTTTATTGAATTTTCTTTTTCATAAACTTAACTTTCCTATAAACGTTTATCTATAAAATGAACGGTAATTACATTATAATATAAATGTGGATATTCATAGAAAATTGTCAACTTCAATAAACTTCATTGGAATTGCTCGATTTTTCGAATTCTTTGTTATAAAAACCGATAAAAATTCAAATCCATAAAGCTGAAAAATTAAATTATATAAACCAAAAATGAAAGAAAACCAATGAAAAAACCTTTGAAGATTATATGAAGCATCGAAAAGAGATGAAATGTTAAGAAGTGGTACCGTGACGAGAGATGCCTTTATTCAACTAGTATAAGTGAGATCAATTAAAAATTGTGATTCTTGTGAAAATGTGGTAAATGTTAAGAATTCTTGTTCAGAATTCCTGAGCCACGCCCAAGTAGAAAGTTCTCAGATCGATATCACATGTGTGTATCACTTTTATGAGTATATCTATAACCTTCTTAAAACTCATTTAAGTTTTGCAAATTTGACGTATTGAAAAATTCAATTTCCCAGAGTGTTCAAATAAAAAATAAAAAAAGAAGGTTAACACCTTTCTGTGACGAAACACATTAATTTCTGCATTGTTTGTTATATTTTATGTTAACCCTCTGATGACGGACCAGGGAGAGATCCCTAATTTTAATTTAAGTTTTTATTTCATCTTACTTTCAATTTCTAAATTTTACACTGTTCCTTAAAAAATTGTTGAATTTAAAAATGCATTGATCTCTTATGTGATTCACAATAAATCTTTCTGGTAATTAAGGATAAAGTCGTCAAATGGGAATAATAGTCAGCAACGACAGTTTACTTCCCATGAAGACGCATGGCATAATACGTGTCGCGTTGGTAATTCAGACTGTGACATTTTGTCCATCTAATAAATGGCTTCTGTGCGTGTCAATTCGAGCGCAGCAGCCCATATTCCAGTATCTGCTCACATTAGGAGATTCGATCTGTGCTCCAATTGTTCTCGATATTCAACGCGGCCTACCTCACCCTCGAAACAGCAGGTAAGTACGTAACTGTAGCGTATCTCGACAAGAGGGTGAACATTCCAAATCCTTTGTAACAAAAGAAATTCAGGAATTCTCTACCATTGTGGAATCGGAGATTTTGCAGTTTTGTAACTGCAAACTGGGTATTCAAATATCAAGGCATACCCTTTCGAATTCCAATACATAATTTTTTATTGGAATTTGTAACTTTGGAACGAAAGTTACGTATAAAATATACTTGCAGAAGTAAAAGTAAACTTGTTGCATTCCCTCGAATGACGAGACTCCTCAACGATTAAACGAATTACCTCAATTTCACCATGGAGTTTACAATCTTTATTCTATTAGAAACTCCTCCGTTTCAAGAGGCAAACTTTGTTCGAGCACCTTGGAAAAAAATACCACCCTTCTTTTCCTTCCTCGCAAGAAAGGGTAAAATGTTTTGGAAGATCTAGAAACATCCGCCAGGCGTAAGATCGTTCGAAAGCGAAAGTTTCAAGCCCTAACCGAGTTAGTTTTCTAACGAGCCACACATTTTTACGGATTTCTTTCGCGTAAAAGAGAAGTTTAACTGCCTTAATTAGTCTCCTATATAGTATTAAAGCGTTATAGTAGTAAAGTGGAAGCTGAGTAGCCCCTTTGAAGGAACGAACCAGAGGTAGGTAAATGTTTTACTTACACACAACGATCCAGATTCTGTTATGTCCTCCCTTTATTATCCCTGTTTCCTAACAAAACATTATTTGCTTTTAGAACAATTTTTTATGCTTGTATTTAACAACGGGGGTAGAAATACAGTGAATGAGGAGAGCAACAGGTACTTATGTGTACGACGTACTGATCTTTACAAATTTGTTGCGTGAAACAGCAAGTAATAAATGTAGCTTCCTTTTTCAAAAATATCACCCTTTTGGAAAATACGAAAAATGGTAAACCTTTGAAGGTTCTTGAATATGACGATATTCGGTTGGCGAAGCACGTATACGTGAACCGATCCGAACACATAAATTAGATCTAGTTTCCATTCGCTGATACATACGTTGATTGTCGACGGTTTTCGTGCCTACAGAATTTAGTACGTTTCCACCCCCGTAAGCCACGTTCCCACTAAATAAATTCACGCCCTCGTATAATCCACGCGCGTTAGGGATTTTCAACCAAATTAACGAAATCAGGGAAATCGGTCGCATCGACAAGGAAATACTTTTGCGGAAGTGTTAATAAGTGTTAAATTTTAATTAGAATGAACTCGAATGATAAATAGAAAATTAACGAGTTAAGATTCAAGTATACGAAATTAATTCTAATGATCGTTGAGTATGACGAATGATAAAGAAAAATTACTCTGAACCAAATGCGGGCAATAAAGAAAAATTGAAGAATGTGAAGAATGATTTGAAACCATTCCGTACCAACAGGACACTTTACGTGTAAAAAAGTGGGTAAAGAGAAAGGAAAAAGCTTGAAAGAAGAAAAAAAGCTGTAACTAACAAAGGAACTGGAAAAGTGAAAAGAGAACGGCTCAAACAAACTATTTTTAAAAGCTGAAACAATGTAGAAACCCGAGAGAAGGAACGGATAAACGTATAGAGTACAGCGCGGAATGAGACAGATAGGCACGAAGTTCTTTGCTTAAACAAAAGAAATAGTAAAGAACAAAAGTATTATGAAATGTTGAGGGTCCAAACCGACGATCAATATTCAGAAAAACATGCCCCTGAAAAATCGTTTTATTTGAATTATAATAAAAGAAATTTTTTTCATAAAATTCTACTCACCCTCTCGAATTTAATGTGGACAACATTAACGATTTCTTTGCAGTTATACAATCGCTTCAGACCTGTAACAAAATGACAGAAAATTAATTTTATGTTAATAATGCTTTAACCTTCTTAATTAAATCTTAATTAACTCTTAATTAACCCTCGAACGGCGGACCACGGAGAGGGCCCTAATATTAATTTAATTTTTCATTTCACATTATTTCTATTTTCTAAATTTTACACTCTTCCTTCAAAAATTACTTTTCCAATTTATGAAACCCTTTCCTTCAAAAATTATACATTTAACTTTAGCTTAATATCTTTGTATATGCTTCGTAAGTTTGGATCACGATTGACCCAGACTCCGCTGTTCAAACGTTAAGTATCACGATAAGGTGTTTGAAGGTTCAATTTTGGCTGCCTTATCACATCGCTACGAAAAGTTCGGAAGATACTGAAATTATTATGCTGAATGGTTGAACGGGACCGAATACTGCTGCTTATAATGGCCATTATAATTTTACTCTCTTTGTTTCAAACATCCCATTACATAGTCGGTACACAGTATATCGATTAATAAGATTTTCGTGAAAGCAGCGGAGTCGTACTAAATAACAGACCGATGTTTCCATGGAATTTTTCTTCAATAGCATACTGTCTATATTGCAGATTGCGGACTACTAGAGTAGGATCAGGAAACGCTTGTTAAAGCGGATGCAGATGCAATGAATGATGGAATTAAGACAATTGCATTGTTCATCATGAACCTATCGAAAAAATATGGTTTCTGTCACTGAATCCTTTCAATCGAGCAACGATCAATAAAGCTGAAATATATAAAAATATTATGTCGTATTCCTACCTTTGTTATAAGAAACGCGAGACTCATTTAGGTAAGAAGGTTCCACCCAGCGCGTTTCATGCACACGCTCGCTGGAGCGAGCGATGAGTGTGAATAATTTTTGGCAGAAAGGAGCCAGCTAACAGTGAAATTATTCCATATATTTTTCCCGCTCGGGATAAAGGGTACATAAATTTCATTCGCGTACCTTACGGCGTTAAAATCAAATTTTACCGAGGAGAATTTGCCAAATCGATACCAAACGATACTTAAACCGCGTTAGAATTTTTCACGGATAGGTGTCTTTAATTAATTAATCATTTATTCAACATAGTAATTTTATGTAAGGTGTCTTTTGACTAAGCCAATTCGCAGTATTTCTATGAATGAAGATAGAAGAAAATGAGGAGTTCAGGATCTTGATAAAATGAAAATTGGATGATTCTATTCAAAAGAAAAGTTCAATTGCACTCTCCGTGCGCTCCGATGTAACTAACTTAATAAGAAGCAAGGACTCGTAAAGATTAACAAGATATGGAAGGTTTCCCTCTGTCAGTTCTCCCTATTTTCAACCAAAAGGAATCGTTCGAATTTTTAATCAAGAATTTATAGAGCATTGCCATTGAATCGTAATTACGATATAACTCGACTTACTTGGAAAAAAGTGCATTTTTGAAAAAATTTATTTTCGTTAAAACAGAAGGAAAATCCGATCGTTCCGCCATAAGAAGGCTTGATTACAATTAACGATCTACAATTAACGCAAGATCATCGAAGAATAAAATTACGTATACCAAGCTGTACGCACGCTTATCCATTCAGTCGTAATTGTAAATTAACATTTTTATACCGTCGGGGTTAATGAATTTGAATTTTATACTCTTTCGCCAGATATTCCTCGGCCACCTTTTACCGGGCTATCTAGATTACTACCTTAAACTAAGCAAGTTTTTGCTATTACACTACTTACACTGACCGTATATTCCTAACAGAAAATATGTTTCGTGATAAAAAAAATAAATTAAAAGATATAAGAGCTGAATATTTTATACACTGTCACTCAAAGATTGTGGAACGCTTATTAAACTTGAAATAAATTCAAGAAAAGTTAAAAAGGATTTGATGGAAAAATTTTTTTTTAAATTTTATTATTACACTACCGCCAAGAAGTTTGGAAACATTTGAATTGTTTTAAAAAATAATTAAAAATGTACTGTAAGTAATTCTACATTGTATTCTTTTGCTTAATTCTACAGTGGGTGATCAAATTATTATGAACAGATGGAAAACTTACATATTTTATGTTTCCGATGCTATTATGTATTCCATAAAAGTGTAATATACTCTTTCCAGCAAAAACCGTAACAGCCTACCTAACTAATAAAAAAGTTCAAGTTTTACCGTGGCCTGGAAACTCACCAGATATAAACCCAATAGAAAATCTATGAAAATTATTAAAGCATTGTATTGCATCAGAGACAATAACTAACAAGCAACAACTGATTGATAAAATTATATTCGTACGGCATCAGGACCCAGAAATGCTAGAAAATTGCCGAAAAAATATGGAAAGCATGCCGAGACGTATTCAGGCAATTATAGATGCCAAGGGCGTTGTGTTTTAAATTATAAAAGTTGTAAAATATAGCAATATCATAATAATAAAAATATAACAGTAAGTTTTGCAATAAAAAGGGATTCCATTCCCCATCAAACTTCAAATAAGTGGTAATTTCAAACTGTTCATAATAATACGATCATCCACTGTAATACTGTTCTCTTCTATATTACTATATAGGTGAAGTATATATTTTATGTATTATGCAATGCAGTTGAAGTGGTAATTTTGAACTGTTCATAATAATACGATCATCCACTGTAATACTGTTCTCTTCTATATTACTATATAGGTGAAGTATATATTTTATGTATTATGCAATGCAGTTGAATTATTTATTTAAATCTCTTTGTTTCCAAACATTTTGACGGTAGTGTACGTATTTGAATTTTTTAGAAAGAAATACCTCTTTATTGCTGCAATTCCTGAAATTGTGAAAAGTGAAGAACTGTAAACAGTCTAGGTAACTAACTATCGTATTCAATAGGCAAGCGTTAGTGGCATCTCTATTTTCACGATTTCCCTTATTATTAGCTGCGAAGATCCTGATCCTACGCTTGGCCGTCCTGGCACGATATCCGCCATCGAATATCCTTCTATCTTCACTTTTTATACACTCGATAGCTCCGTCTTTCTACTATATTTTTCTTTCCCAACACACTACACAGGTGCGAGGTATTTTCTCACACCGTCACGCCAATGATGTCTTATTTCCTTTTTTGCTGAAAACTCATTAATTTTTCCCTCATTTTTCCTTCGTCACAGCTTCTTGCAAGATTTTCAGTCGAGCAGATATTACTCGTGAGAATTTTATTAATTGTACTTAAAAATTGTTTCGTAGTAAATACTCTTAAGTGAGAGTAGAAAAAGTATGTTTCAGAAATTCCATATCTATATTAAATTCGTAATCGCGTTTAAATCGGTTACGTAACCGAGAAAACTCTGCACCGCTACGATTTCATCGAGCAACGAAAATTTTCCGATAAACTTATACGAGATCAGTTCGAAACCCCGTTGAGGTCGAAACACTATGATCTTTCTATCGAACAAAGTCCCAACGAAAAAGAATAATCCGTGGAAAGTAAAAAGTACTCGGGCTTGGTCAGACAGGCAAGTTCCGCTAGTAAAGTAGTTCAAGTCAAAAATTTTTCCTGCTCGATTTCTTCGGAAACTTGCCGTACTTCGTGCTACACGTATCGTGTAGAAACTGGAACGCTTTTAAAAATATTCTCATCCAATTTAATCAATTGTGTTTGATCTCTTCCGAATTTTAGATAACATCGTTAAATTTTTGTTTACAACTTTTCATCTAGCTGCAATTGAATATCTAACTTGGTGTGAAAATTCATGCGCGATACCGAGGTGAATGTGTTAAATGAACCTTAACATCCGTCTGATTGGATCTAACTACTTATTTAGTCCACGTGACACTCTTCGCGATAGAAGAGACCCATTCAATTGATTTCTGTTATTTTCAATGGACGGACCGAGCGCTGAAAGGGGTATTGTGCAAACCACAACGCCATATTGAAACCACTGCAGATAAGAACCCCTAAACCCTCACTCGACATAGCGAAGAAACTCAAACAAAATGCATTTCTATAGCCTTTAAGAAACTCTGTTCCATTTTTGCAAAGGAGAAGCTTTCTTGTATCATTTGTACGTAAAATTTGCTAAAGAATCAATGACGCACGTGTTGCGTCGTCAGCTGATCGAAAAGTACAGTGCATTTTTCAGCCTCGAAATTTTCTAATTTATCTAACATTTCGATATAAACGTCGACTGTTACAGTTCCTGGAAATCTTCTAATAAAATTCTGATTTGAATGAGTTACGGGATGACCTCGTGTTATTTGCATGCACTTCTCGCAGCCACGTGACACTTTCAAATGTCACGAAGGATGTTGATACGGGTTGTTCAAAGTGAAATATATCCTGACTGGTAGCTTCTCGTAAGACCGAAAAAAGAGGATGGAGATAAAGAAGTAGTCGTAGATGTTGGTAGACAGGAAGATGAAAGGAGAAAATGAAAAAAGGTAATAGGAATTCGTGTAGTAAAGCCAGATGTGTGAAAGCGGTTGCCGGTAACACGGTATTATTTTACTATGCAAACAGGAACGTACGTGACCAAGGTGTTAACTATTCCCATTTTCTTCTCAATGGTATCGGCAGTATGCTGCCACGAGCTATTAACCAATTTCAAGGTGGTAATACGATTCTGCTAGCAACCGAGAAAGAACGTGGATACACATTCGATCAGAGCCTTGGCTACACGCCAATAACGGCTTCCTATGTAGATTTAGATTTCTTTCTTTCATCGGACCTTTCGTTGCCAGACGAACTAAATCTTGAATGATAAAAGAAAAAAGAGATCTCGGCTTGCTTTCAATTCATCGTAATGAATTACTATTCTCGAGTTTTTCTTAAGTTATAATTAAAAAAAGGCAAGAAATTATTCAAAATATGGGGCTGTATAAAATTACCACCAATAACAAGGTTATTAGGTAAAGCAATTATTCTTCGATGCTAGGTACTTGTAATGTTCGTGTACTTAGCGTACACAATGGACCACAAAATGCAGCAGCAATTGTCTGTTTATTGATTATTACATAATTACAT